ACATTATAAAATACCTCCTGTGAAGCCAGACCCCGGTGGCTCACGCCTGTAATCCTAGCTACTCAGGAGGCAGAGATCTGAGGATCACAGTTCAAAGCCACCCAGATCAGGAAAATCCACCAGACTCTTACCTTCAATTAACCACCACCAAAAAAAAAAAAAAAAAGCACCAGAAGTGAAACTATGGCTCAAGTGATAGAGCACTATGGTTCAAGTCATAGAGCAGTAGTCTTGAGCAAAAAAATCTCAAAGATAGCATCCAGACCCTAAGTTCAAGCCCCAGGACGGGTACAAAAACAACAAAACAAAACAGCCTCCTATGACTTCAGATTGCAGTGGGATAGTGCATAAAATATTCAATGTGAAAAAAATGTGAAAACAAATTTAGAAAGGACTTCAAATAATGCCATTTCAATCTGATAGTGAATTTTCATCTATATGTTTGCCAAGTATACCTACGTTGAATTTTATTTCATCATCACAGTTACCTTGAAAACATACTATAAATATTACCAATAAGAAATCAACAGGAAAGTTACCAACAACCAGCAACTCAGCAGTAACACTAAAGGGTGAAACCGGCAGCCCCCAGGCAGAGCTCAGAGGTGGAGCTCTATGGGAACAGGTCCCCAGAGGCTTTGGAAAACAACACTCATAATATCTAATCTTACACAACAACATAAGAATCTAGCACATGAAATTAATCGTTCGTTTTATTAATATTACTATCAAACCTTGTTTCTGTCTTGATCTCCAACAGACCAACAACTTGGTCGTGAACTGCTCAGTGTCACTCCCTTCTAATTTCTCAGGTAGTGTAGAATTATCTCCAGGCACTTGCCCATATTCTGTCAAGAGCAAGACCCTGGAGATTCTCTCCCTGACCTAACAGGTTCCTTCAAAGTAGTACAGACATAAACAAATTGATATATTCAGACATGAAGAAGAACACAGAAGCACAGCCACTCTTAAATTATGGCACAGAAATTAAAACTAATTTTCTCTTATTAGGGATATTACTAAAGCCAGTCAATTTTAAGGTACTTGACACACTCACAGGCATTATATTTTCTTTCCTCTAATTATTCCAAAGAAACCAAAATGTTGTTTTTTATGACTAATAACTAGGAACAATAACATAACTGTTAAACTGTAAGCACGTCACACAAATAAACTTAGCTTATAGAATATATTATTTCATGTATCTAAACCTTATCTAACGATAAATCTGTACCATAAATATAAATTTCTTTTGCACTAGATCTACAGACTTGACCTAAAATGATTCAAATGCACGTGTCTTTTACTGATATTACAAAAATACTGCAAACTAGGAAAAGCATGAAACAATTTTTTTAAATTGCTTTCTTGGCATGTTTATTTTAATCATGATAAATCTGAATGTCTGGGAAACTCAACATTAACTGCAGTTGGAAAACAGAGTTGTTTCCTTGCTTTGAGTATCATATATATTTTTTCTCTATAGTATTCCAAAGAATATTGTAATAACATTTTCTACCTATAACCATTATTTTATATGACAGTAGGAAAGTAAGGTGAAATATAGTACAATATTAAATATATAAGCATTCATTATGACTGTTATAAATGCTTTACTGAACACAATAAAAGCCAATGTTGCACATTTTGTTTTCTATTTAATTTCAGACTTCCTCTTGTTATGCACATCACATGTGTTAATTAATAAATGTACAAATCTCATCTCACTAAATGTAAGGAATCAAGTAAAGACCGTCTGTCTTGTCTTCCTTTAATACTTCTACAGTACAGCAAGATATTTATATGACACGGAATATAAAATAAGCATGATTTGTCAAAGAATAGTACACAAAAAATTCATTCTTAAAAGGCTGCCAATAATACTTGATGTGAAGATATTTATATCTATTACTTCTGTCTCTATTTCCAAGTTCTTTAATAATAAAGTTGAAAACCATATTAGCAATTAATATGCTGCCCTTGATGCTTCTACTTTGTTTCTCAGCTCACCAAATTACACACTCATTTTTTATTTTTCTTTTTCATTCTCTCTTCTTGCCCACCCCTACACACACACACACGCACGCATGCACACACACACACACACACACACACACACACACATGCACACACGGTAGTTTGATACCACTTAGTAAGGATAGAGGTATATATGTTTGGGGGTGTCAAACAGCTGTCACAAACTGTCACCTCCACAAGAGAAAGCTTGGCGCACCACAAATTAAAGTAAGATTCTTTTTTAGCTGTCATTATTCATAGCCAATAAGTTGAAATGCTCTCAACATTTCATGTGCAAATAAAACCAGGAGGAAGCTCAGTAGATCAGAATGGTGGGCCAACAGATAAAACAGAGAAACAACAGGCTGTCCCAGCCCTTCTGAAGTGGCTCCCCTCACCCCAGCACTGGCACTCACCAAATGAGATCCAGCCTGGGGCAATGCATTAAATATGCATATCAAAGCAAATGAAAAAATAAACCTGAAGATTCAAATTGGACACATTTACATGTGAAAATGCCCTACTCCTACCGCTTCAGGTAGCTGTGTATGTGTGTGTGGGGGGGGGATGCTTTTTATGGCTGAAGCTTAAGGGAGGGTGAATTCGCAGGAGAGGGTAAGGTATTCAGACAGTTCCCTCTGCAGGGGTTTGGGTGTAGGCCTGCAAATGAATGCAGTCAATACACCTATGGTACCAAAGAAACAAGACCGGTGAAGACTCTCCAAGATTCTCCCCTTCAACCTACATAAAACACGGGTCTGTGGCAAACCTGTCCATTTCCCACTCAGAGTGGTGGTGGAACAAATTATTGCTTCATTTCAAAACAAATGGCAGGGGGTGAAAGTAAAAAATGCTATAGTTCAGATCTCTAGGATATAAGAGGCTTTAAATTATGACACCCAATGAGGTGGCAAGCCCTGGTGAGTTCAAAATAAATCAGTTGTCATGTTCAATTGATTGGGGGCTCGAGAGGGGAGCAACAAATGATACAGTTGGCTCTTTTACCCCAAGATTGTGATTGTTAAATTATTAAAACATTATTCCCTTAAGTACAACTTCTTTGAGTCTGTATCTAAATATTACAATAGCCCCACAAATTGGCATTGTTTGCCAGCCAATGCTCTAAGGAGCCTAGTTTACCTTATCTCTTCCATGTAAATATCAACATGTTCTAGTGCCATACATCCACTGGAAAAAGAGCTGCCAAGAAACTATTCAAGAAAATGTAGTTCTGGGAACCCGAAGAAATACCAGGAGGAATGCCTGGGGACCCCAAGAAATAAAAGGAGGAAAAAAAGCAAAAAAAAAAGCCTTCGGAAAACTGTAAACCTCTCTCATTCTACAAAATCGTACAAACAGATCCTTCCCCGTTTCCCCCAATATTGTAAATACAAATGAATCCGCAAAGAGAAAGCACTGAAAAGAAACAAATAATGAACAACACCAAAACGTATTTCCAAGGCAGTGTCATGACTCAGGGACCACAAGACACAGGCGTAGGTAAGGCCACGAGGAGGGGAATGAACTTCACACAGCTGCCGCTGCTGCACGGGATACAGTCAGGACCCCAAAGAGCCCCTGACAGTCCCTCCATGGCCTTGGAAACAAATTAAGGCAGGGCCATTTATTCTGCCTCAGAACTAAACATTCAGGAAAAGTCTTTTTTTTTTTCCCTTAAACTTCTGTTCTTAGGCTCGCTTCTCAAACAGAGCAACAGTTCATTATTACAATCTATGGCCGCATATTTTCAAAACTCGTTGTAGTGGGGTGAGAGGGTTATTCTCAAGGAAGCTCAATCCTTTTTTAACACAGGATTTAAAGGAGGGTTACAAATTACAACTGCAATGCCTGTTTAATTTACATAAGGTGCTAAATTAATATTTCAACCACTAAGTTATTCAAACTACATAGCCTACAGCACTTAGGATTGTGGGTTTAAATGAAGGTATAAGACACCCGGCTGGCCCTTCACCCCCAGGCTTGGGCTTTAGGTTCTTGTAAATAAAGTATACTTCACAGCCACTCCTTAACCTCCACACACCACACTCCTGCCTTTCCTACCAGCTGCAATCTTTCTTCTCTTTTCAAATTTTCACTCACTACATATGTTTCTCCCTCCCCACCCCCAGCAGACTCACTAGATCAGTTCCAAAATAGGATTAAAAACAGAGGATAGTAAGAAATCTCCATTCCTGCTTGACACACACAGTCATTTCTTACTATACACTCTCTGTCCTCATTCACCAGTGGGAAAAGTGTTAAAATTCAACCACTAACCTATGGTTACTCAATCATAATTCCCTTCAGCTTCCTGTAATACATTGTTAATAATTGGTTCATCAAGGTTACTGTCTTTTATTATGAAGATGCTTCAGGCGCTTGGCAATAAGTCCATATTCTGACAATAAGTTTCTATAGAGCAAAAGCCCTGAGAATTGTAATGTGTTCATTCACTCCTTTTATTTCTAATGCAGTGCAAGATTGCCAATAATTCTCAGGATTGTCATCTCTGAGAGAGACTGGGAAATCAGCTCTCGCCCCATTCTCTCCTGGAGTCCCGTTCTCCTCCCCTCCCCCAGCCCGTCCAGCTAACTGTCTTGCCTCTTTCTATCCGGCTGCACTGATTACACAGAATGAGAAACCAGAAAAGACAGCAGTCGCCCTATCAAAAAGAGAACGTGCTAACACCCAAGTCACCAAATCCAGGAAACTGTACACATTAAGAGCACAAATCAAATCACCCTATCAGCTCCTCGGATTTTCAGCTCTCAAAATAAAGCAGGGTCCAAGGCCAGGGAAATGAAAACAAAGAGTATGGCAGAGGTAGGGGGAGAGAGAGAGAGAGAGAGAGAGAGAGAGAGAAACTCTCCATAAGAGAGCAAACCATTTTAAAAGAAAACGAAGTCCGCGGAACTAAGAGTTAGGCTTTAAGAAAACACGTTGCCCAATAGCCTTCCAAGAATGCCAAAGGCTTTCAGACTTACATGGTCAGCGAGATTTGTGGAGGAGCCTGAAAGTTCTTCATGATCTGACTTGGAGCTGCCATCCCTTTCATCAATGACGAGGTCGATGGGCATTTTCCCCTTCAAACAGCTAATGTACCGGTGGCAGAAGTTATCACACAGTTCATGCACCTAGGAGGGTTCAGCTCATGTTGTTGTTTGTTTCATTTTTCAAGAGGAAAAATATCAGGTTGCATTGTGACATTTGGAAAGAGCAGCCATGTTCTGTCTTCCACACTAACTCTAATTAGGGGGTGTAATAGTTGAAGTCAAGGAAACAATAGAGCAATTGTTGCAGCAGATATTATTCTCCAGAGACTTCCCCAGCAACAAGTTACAATAAAGCAAGAAATCAGAGTGGAAATAACTGGGCTCAGAATGGGAGACCAGAGAGGAAGACCCGACTTGATAATAGCTTCAAAACCTAGAACTCTGCAACTGCGGGCAGAAGTGGTATTTGGGATGCAGTAAGCTCTGAGTTTGGTATATTTGCATAGAAGTTAAGTGATGGAGCTATGGGCAGTGTAGGGACAGGACATGCCGCGGGCTGCGAACCTGATGCAGACCGGGGGCCCAGAGCCCACTCAGATAATAGAGACAGCACACTGAGTGTCCAGTAGCACAAATGGTTTCAAAACAATCCTCAATGGCTGAGGGAAGAAGCTGGGGGGGGGGGGGGAGCGGGAGAAATTACTTTAAAAAGGCCTAGACTGCAGATGCAAGCCCCCTTTGAACCCCTGGGATGAGGAACAGTTAGAGAAAGACAGTGCCACCCTCGGAACATTTCCAAGTGGTCAGTCCCCAACACTGAAGATACACTGACAACCTCAAGCAACTAGTAGAGACTGTGATCAAATCAAAACCCAGGCATGATCTCTTACCTTTTCTAACTCCAGAAGATGAAACCTTAGCACTTGTATTGCTTGTATCATCTGAAAGTAAAGTTTAAGAGTGTCAGGGTTCTGGAACTCTTCAGGCCCTGAGTAGGGGGTGCTGAAGGAATTGGGCTGGGGAGAAGACACCAGCAGGGGACCAGGCAAACCCCACACTGGAGGAAATCAGTGATTACCGATCATCTCTGCCTCACTGGCCTGGGGTGGGAGTCTGACAGAACTTGAGCCTCAATACTGACATCTTTCCTTCCTGATATCCACCGGACAGTGTGTCCCAGGGACTTCTTTCTCTGCCCGAGCCCTCTTCAACTCTCTCTCTCTCTCTCTCTCTCTCTCTCTCACACACACACACACACACACACACACACACACACACACACACTCTCTGACCTCAGGTCAAACTTTTTTTAAAAAAAGTAAAAAAAAAACAAGAAAATATAGTGAAACAAAAATAATTTTAAGAGTCGCCTCTCTGCACAGAAAAACCCAGCCCAGCCCAAACCCTTTTCAAGCAGAATACGGAGCGCCACGCGGCTGCCTTGGAGGAGGCCCGGCCGCTGGACGGGGAGACGCGGCTTTCGGACTCAGACTTAAGTACTTTTAATCTTGAAATGGTGCAACTTAGCAAAAGAACCGCACCTCCCGCGCCGGCCCCTCGCCCCAGCCCCCGCCGGCCGGCCCGGCGCCGCCTCGCCCTCCCGGGTTCGCCGCTGTGTGGGCCCGGCGCCCAGCAGCTCGGGGGCCGGCGGGACGCGGGTCGGCCCCGGCGCGCCCACCCCGCCCTTCCCGGCCTGGGCCCCGGACGCGGGGAGGGAGGGAGGGCCGGGCGCTTACCAGATTATCCAGCTCCGGGTTTGAGGAGAAGAGAGGTTTCTCGGCGCGGACCTGTAAGAGGCAGCGGGGGTCGGTGCCCGGCCGGCCGGAGCGGGGGTGCGCGGGGCCCGGCCAGGGGCGGCCTCGGGCCGGGCGCGCGGGGGTGCGCGGGGCCCGGAGCCCCTCGGCTCCCCCCCCCCGACCCGCTCCCCCAGCGCCAGGCCCCGTCGCTGCAGGCGGGGGAAGAGGCCAAGCCCCACATTAGGAGCAGGTCAACTTTAATTGAGGGTCGAGCCCCGGTACTCCTGGGTGGGGGGAAAACAAACACCGGTCTTTATCTCCGCTTCCCACTCGCGGGGGCCGGGGCCGGGGCGCGGGGGTGCGCGTGCCCAGCTCGGGCAGGGGGCTGGGGAGCGGGCCGGGAAGGCTGGACCTGCTTGGCGAAGACGGCGATGTCCTCGTTGAAGGAGTCGGAGGAGCAGACGTCCCCGCCGGCCACTCCAGGTTCCCGGGGCGTGCAGGTCGCCAGCTCGCACTTCTCAAAGACCAGAGCTAACAGAGGAAACAACGGGTGCCTACCGGGCGGCGGCACGCAGACACACAGGGGACGGGTGCGGGGGGCGAGAGGTGCGGTCAGCGGGGCCGAGGCGCGGCCCCTCCTCGCCGCCGCAGCGCGCGCCCCGCTCCACGCCCGTCCGCGGCCCGGCTGCGCGGGCCCGGCCGCCCCGGCCGCCCGGCGGCGGGGTTGACACCCTCGGAAGTCGGGGCCGGGCCGGGCCGGGTGCTGGGCGGGGGTTGGCGTTGGGAAGCACGGCCCCAGCGGGCAGCTCGGGCCCGGCCGGGGCCGCGGCCGCCGCACGCCGGCTGACAGCGCCCGCCCCCGGCCGGCCGCCCCCTTCCGCGTGAACTTGCCCGCCCGACTTCCAGCGGAGCCCGGGCCGCCGGGCCGCTGCCCTCCCAGGACCGCACCTCCCCGGCCGGCCGCGGGCCGACGCGGGCCGGCGGGGTCCGGAGTCCTGGGGTGGCGCGCCGGCGCGCCCTTTGTGCTCGGCGGGCGGGCGGGCGGCGCGGGGTCACCCCCCGGCCCCGGCCCCGGCGCCCCGCCGCGGAAGCCCGGCCCGGCCCGGCTCCCGGCCCTCCGAGCTCCCTGCCGTGGCCTCGCCGCGGGCGGCCCGGAGACCGCTCGCCCCGCGGCGGGGTCGGCCCGTATTTACAGACTCCGGCGGGCGGCGGGGACTTCCTGGCCGGAGGCGCGGCGCGGCGCCCAGACCCTCGCCACCGAGCGAGGCGGGCGGAAGGAGAAAGAACAAGAAACACAAAGTTGCTCCTGGGCCGCCGCAAACTTTCCCCTCGGCCCGGGCCTCGGTGAGGGGCCCGGAGCCGCTGCCCGGGGCCGAGGGAGGGGGCCCACCGGGCGCCCGGGGCCCGGCCTGGGCCGCGCGGGCCCGGGAGACGGCGCCCCGCCGGCCCCGCCTGGGCCGCGGCCCCGCGGAGACGGCCTCCGCTCCGCCGGCCTCCCCGCCCCCACACACACCCGCACTCACTCACGCCGAAAGCTGGGTCTGGGGGTCGGTTTACCCATAGATCGCGTCCTTGTCCCGCTTCAGGGCGTCGTTGACAGCGGACCCCATGCTGGCCGGCATGACATTGGGGTGCGGGGCGTGCGCGCCGTAGTGCTGCGTGGCGTGGAGCGGCGGCCCGTGGTTCAGGTGGTGAACCGGAGGGATGGGCCGCGGCGCGTGAGGGTCTCCGTACATGGACGCGGGAACCCCTACTCCGTCCATTCCGCCGTAGTGGGGCAGCTCATCGTACTGTCAGCCGCCCGGGCGCCGTGCGGAAGCGGGAGCGGGAGCGGGAGGCGCGGGGCCGGGGCCGGGGCCGGGGCCGGGTTGGGAGTAGGGGAGCGGGGAAGGCGAGGGGGCGGAGGAGGAGAGAGGGGGACGGAGAGAGGAGGGAGGGAAGGAGGGGAGAGGGGGAAACAAACAAAAATAAAAACCAAGTCAGCCGGGGGGAAAGCGCCGGCCGTGGGGACCGCGCCGAGCCCGCGGCCTGGGCGGCGGGGCCGGGCGGCTCCGGAGGAGGGCGCGGCGCGGCCGGGGCGCGGGGGCCGCCGAGCCGCCCCGCGGAGCAGCCGCTGCCCACGCCGCCCCGAGCCCCCCGCAGAAGCCCCAATAAATCACCGGGCGAAGCGAAACAAAATAGAGCGGCGGGAACGGCGGCCGCCCGCGCGGCGCGCCGAGGGCCGGGCGCGGGGCCGCCTCGGGTGGAGGCCGGGGCGGGAGGCTCGGCCAGAAAGTTACCAGAAACATAATTCAGCGGCGGGCGCCCCGCGCCCCGGTCCGTCTCGGAGACACCCCGGTGGCGGCGGCGGCGGCGGCGGCGGCGCGGGCGGCCGTGGCGGCGGCGGAGAACCGGGGGCCGCGCGGGTGCGAGCCGAAGCCGGCGACGGCGTGGAACAATTGCACGCGCGCACTCCGCTCACACGCACTCGCCGCCCGCCCGCTCCGCGCTGGAGAACGCGCGCCCAGACAGACACGCACACACGCACGCACACACACTCGCACACACGCAGAGGCGAGGGGGGAAGCGGCCGCCGGGCCCGGCCGCGGAGGCGGGCGCTGGCGGAGTCTTCCGTCCGCGGGCGAGGCTCAGACCTACCCTCTGCGCCATCAGTCTGCGCTCCGATCGGCTCCGGGCTGCGCCGCGCGGTTAGTCCCAGGCCGGGGAGAACGTGCTCGGGGCTGAGGACGCTGCCCCGGCCGAGGAGGCTTCTGCCGCTTCTCCAATACGTTCGTTTTAGGGGGGACCCCAGGCTAGAGAACCAAGTTTTCCCCCCCTGTGCTATTTCTTCTTTTTCTTTTTTTCCTTTTCTTCCTCCTCCTCCCGATCTTCCTCCTCCTCCTCCCCCTCCCCTCCTCCGCCTCCTCGGTCCTCCTTTCCCCCTCTTTCTCTTCTCTTCCTCTCAGTTGGAAAAAAAAAATGAAAAGGGGAGGAAAAGAGGCAGGAGGAAGAGGACTGTCAAGCCCCGCGCCGAGGGCTCGCCGGGTCCGTCAGCAGCCACATGTAACCCAACTGTCGCGTTCCATGGCTTTTTGCCACTCCAGCTGTCAATCAAGCCCGGGATGTCACGGCAGTGAATGAAGGATGGCTGGTGAGGATGAGGAGGAGGAGGAGGAGGACTTGAAGGAGGAGGGGGAGGAATCTTTCAGACCCGCTTCTCTCCGCGGTGAGCTCGGCGAGGGGCTTCTGCCCTCCGCGTCCCGCCCCCGCCGCCGCCGGCCCCGCGCGCCGGGCTCCGCTGCGCCCCTCTTTAAAGTATTGTTCAGAGCAAGCGGGAGGACGCGCGAGGGCGAGGTCCCAGAGTTTGCAGAAACTGGACCCGCTCCCGCCGCGGCCGCCGCCGGCGCCGCGCTCCTCCTCCTCCCGGGGAGACGAGCGAGTGTCAGGAGGTGTTGGCAGGTCGGCGGCCGCCGAGCTTATGGAAGAGCCTCCGTTTGGCGGCGCGGGTCGGCGGCGGGAGAGCGAAATGACGGAACCCGGAAGTCGTGGTGGCCAGAGCCGGGCGCACGGCGGAGACTCATCCCGGGCGCGGGGCGCGGGCGCGGGCGCGGGGCGCTGGGCGCGGGCGCGAGGAGCGGCGCAGCCCAGCCTGCCTCTGATGTGCCGCGGGAGCCGGACGGCCCGGCGGGGGGCGGGCGCGGGGGCGGCGCGGGGAGCTGGAGCCGCGCGGACCGAGCAAATCAGCGAGCCTCTCCTCCGCGGGGACGGCGGGGAGGGGAGGAAGAGGAGGGAGAGCGGGGGGGGGGGGGCGGGGGGGAGAGGGACGGGAGCCGGCGCGAGGGGGACGGGGACGGGGAGAGGGAGGGGAGAGGAGAACGCACGCGCGCTCGGTCGGGACGAGAGGGAGAGGAGAGGGAGCGGGGACCGAGCGCGCGGGGAAGCGCGGGGAGGAAACTGCGCGCCGCGGGGAAGTACGGTACCGCCTCGGACCTTTCCGTTCCCTCTAAAACTTACTTCCACTTCATTTCCCCGTCACCCCCGGCTCCCGCCCGTCCGGGCCGAGAGGGGACGTGCGGCCGGCGCGCCGGCTTTTGTTTCGGTGAATTCCGCGTCCCCTCCGCCCAGGCCCGGCCTCGGCGCCCCGAAGTCTCCCCGCCGCGGCCCCGGCCCGCCGGCTCGAGTTTCTAAGTGGCACCCTCTTCCCGGGCCCCGCCGGCCGGGACCCACGTTTTCCGGGGCCACCCGGGAGAGCCCGTGGGAGCCGCGGCCGGGCCGCGCGGGGGGAGCCGCGGGGGCGCGCGTGCACGCGCGCGGGGGTGCACGGGGGCGCGCCTCCGAAGTGGACCCAACTTGGAGCCGGGCGGCTCGGGAGGGACAGACGGCGCTGCGGGCGAGGCCGGGCGCGGGAGGCCGGCCGGCGGAGAGCCGCGGACGACTCCGGGCGCTCCCGGGCGGGGAAGGGGGGGGCGGACAGAACTTTTTCCCGAAGGAAAGAGGGGCGCGGGGAGGAAGGCAGCCGCCCCACGCCGTTTGGTGTGGATATTAGTTCTGGCCGGGGTCCCGTCCAATCCCGGGCCCGAGCTGCGCCCCGGCCGGCTCCCGGCGGCGGGCGTCAGTCACGCGGCGCCCGGAGCCGGGGGCGGAGCTCGGCCGCCCGGCGAGGCGCCCCCGCTCCGGCCCGCGCGCCCGATTTCCCTCCCGCGCCGAGAATCGGACGCGGACGCCCGCCGGCCGCGCTCCCCGCAACTCCGACCCCGCGGGACTAAGAAGTGACCAGCTCTCACGCCCGGCTCCGCCGGGCCTCGGGGCGGGGGCTGGGCGAGAGCGGCTAGGGACGGGTGCGGGCGGGCGAGTGCGGGTGTGCGTGTGAGGGGCGCTTTCTCTAGCCCCCTCCCGCCCTCCTGCGCGCCGCGAGGCCGGGGTGCAGCGGCCCAAACCCGGGAAGTCTGGCCTGGTTTTAATAGGGCTGGGAATGAGCCCCGGAGGCCAGCGAAGCCTTCCAAAAATGGGGAGTGATTGAGCACCTGTGATGATGGTGGTGATTACCAGCGCAATTAAACAGGGTGATTAAATGAGCCATCATAGCCACGGTGTCCGCGGGAACCGGCCCCGCGTATAAAGGACGGGCCGCGGGGCCGGCCGAGGCGGGGGAGCGCCGCGCCCGACCGGCGCCCGCGCTGCGCCCGGGTGGCCCGCGCCTCCGGAGCCAGCCCGGAGGAGCCCGAGCGGGGCGGGGCCGCCGCCACCCCTTCTTTGTCCCCCGTCCCGGAGAAGAGCACACCCTCATCTGATGCAGACTTGCTTGTCGACAAGTAAGCAAAGGTGAGTGACAGAAGACCCGACAAAAAAGTCGGTTTCCAGAACCGTCGGTCGGCTGGCAGGCTGGCCGGTTCCAGCAGCCGGGGTGGGGGACTTGCCTCGCCGCCGCCGGGAAGTCCGGCTCCACTTCCTCCCCTCCGACTCCCGCAGCCCGCAGGGTCGCTGGCGTTTCCAGCGTCCGCGCTCACTGAGCGCCAGTTGCTTTTCTTTTTCAAAGAAACCCCTCCGTTTCCGCGGCGCGCACTTCCTCTAGCGATCAACTTCGTTCCAGCCTCGGTGCCAGGCGTGACAAAACTCAACCCTGCTGCCCGCCGCTGCCTTCACCCACCGGGGCTTTTCCGTAGTTAGCACCCTTGATTTGGAAAAGCGTCCCCAGCATTTTCTAAAATGATTTTTCTTCCGAGGTAACTGAATAAAAACAATTCTCTTAGCTGGAAGGCTTCTGTAGTTTCAAACAATTGTTAAGCTAATAACAGCTTGATTATCTGGTGGTAAGCTTGGGTTTTACAAAAGAGTATAAACTATCTTATCCTTTTGGTGATCACAAGGCTTATTTAGCTCAACTCCTCTTCTTCCTCTCTAGTATTCTGTAACTTCTTTTACACCTTATTAAGTTAAACAACAGGACAATCTAGGTGTTTGACACTGTAAGATAGTGAAAAGAAAGAAAATGGAAAGAAAGTAAAATAACAGAAGTTCTCTAACTACAAAGACTTAAAGAAGTGTGAGTTTTCAGAGTACTGTTCTGCAGTTCATCTGTATGGTTTTGAAATTCAACTTGCCGATTATCTTGCAACTAAAACAGTCACGTAGTTGCATGTCATTTATGAAACTGTTGGTTTAAAATAGCAACCCCAGTGGATTGCTGGATTATCCCAGTAGATAAAGTTGGAGTTGACTCAGGGTACTGGTTCCTGATCACTTTAATGACATTAAAGGAATATTCCTTCTAATCTGCAGTTTTCAGATATCTTATTAATGGAGCAGGAAAAACAAAAACAAAAACAAGGCACCTCTAATATGTAAGAGTTTCCAGGGTTGACAGCTCAACTTTCCAACCCAGTAGAGGCCATTCCAGGGCAATGGAGGTACTCAGACTCTCTGATTTCCAGCCTGGCGGTCCCGGCTGATGCCCTGTTTTCAGCCCCAGTGCACCACCCAGCCTGCCAAGCTCACCTGCGCTCCCACATTTGGGGCAGAGGGAAAATAGCTGGGGCAGGACCCAGAGACAGGAGAGAGCTGGGGGTCAAAGGAGGCAGCACACACCTCAGTCAACAGTCAGCTCCTTCTGCCCAGGCTGGAAATGGTTTTAACAGGCGGTAAAATTTCATCTTGCGGTGTCAAATTGGGGTCATTTTGGGGTTAGAGTTCTCAGTGTCGAAGAGGAGCTGTCCAGCTGCGTGGGCACTCATTAACTGCAAAAGATCTGTTTCAGTAAAAACAATCCAAAGACAATCAGGAGGCTAAAGACCCTCTATACATAGCGTTTTACAAGTGCCCCAGAACAAATATGGACGGTGAAACCCATTTCTTCAGAATCCCAAATCAGCTACTTAGCTCTGGAGAGAGGGTGGTGGCATTAAAGAGGGCAGGGCGGCTGGGGGGGAGGGGATGGGCCTCTCGAACCTAAGAGTCTGTTTTGAATCACTCATCTCTTACTGACTTTGGAAAACTGCTGCTTTTCTATTTTTCTTTTTGACCCAACATGGAATGCTATTTAGGTAACACGATTTAAAAGGAATAATATAATCCTTCCATAGTTTGAAGAGCATTGTCCTTATGGAGAGTAGTTAATATGAACTGAATATTTGCTTAATTTTACATGAATTTCCCTATGTTTCTAAAGCTGTTTCTTTTCATCTTTTTATTTCGTTTGATTTTAATGCGTTAGAAAGTTATAGGTCTTCTGGAAAAATAACTTTCGATTCCTCAGAACTGAGAGGTTGGAAGGGTTGAACTGCGTATCAAAAATCACTGGATTTAAATTCTTTTTTTTTTTTTTTGTCTTCTTCCAACAGTTAGGGAAAATGATGCGTTGCTAGAGGAACAACTCTAACCTGGATCTTATTGATAGCTTTGGGTAATGCGTTTTTGTTTACTCTGCAAGGTCATTATTTAGGAAAGTCCTGTTTCCTGGTTTGGAAGAAAGATGTGGGTTTTTTTAATGTTAAAAGATTCCTTATGGTAAAAGCAAAGTGCCGTCTTGAATGAGAAGCTGGACTTGTGAAATAGGACTTGTGTTGGGATGACACCAAGTCAGTGTTTGAAAGTAAAGACTCATATGAAAAAAAGTTCATTTCTTGCTTCACGAACCAAGCTTTCTGGAGGGCACCTCTGCGCAGCGCCCTGCCCCTGGCGGCGCGTCGGTCCGGGTTCTCAGAGTGATTCTAAGCGGTTCTCCCAGGAGCGGCGGGGCGAGGAAGCAGCCCCGGCCCGGCCCGCACAAAGGGGGGGTGGGGGTAGTAATGCTGTGGAATTTTCCAGAACTGTGCGGCCACACGCCCACACCCGCCCTCCATCCCTCTTCCACAGCCCTGGCCCGTCCT